TGTTGAGGTTAGGACTCTATCAAATATTCTGTACTCTGCCCTTGGGTTTTTACGTCCAAGATGCATTATCTTGCACTTATCCACATTAAATGTCAGTTGACACAATTAATGTGGATAAGTGCAAGATAATGCATCTTGGTCATAAAAACCCAAGGGCAGAGTACAGAATATTTGATAGAGTCCTAACCTCAACATATGAGGAAAGGGATTTAGGGGTGATTATTTCTGATGACTTAAAGATAGGCAGACAATGTAATAGAGCAGAAGGAAATGCTTGCAGAGTGTCCCTTTAATTCCCACTTAATCAGACCACTCTGTTATTTTTCAGAAAATTCCCACTGTTGTGAGGCACATGTAAAGTGTTGCCCCTTTTGATTAGCAGTTTTTCCCTGAAATTTGACTTGTGATCTTATAAAGGCTCACAGGGGGCATTGAAGCATAAAAAGTACGTGTGTAGGGTCTTAAAACATTTTTCTTAGTTTAAAGGGCAATTGTGCTTACTTTTAGTATGAAATGAATGGACCCACTTATAAGCAGTAAGTTGTCTTTCTGTGAATTTGCTCTACTCATTGGCGGTAGACTGTCATTCCATTAATTTTTCATCCTCGAAAAACTACATATGTCGAGTTGCAAAGAAACAGACTTTCCTGGCTAATCCATGTCAGCATCACCTAGGGGTTAAAGGGATTCTATAGTGCCAGAAAAACAAAGCTGTTTTCTTGACACTATAGGTTCCTACAGTGCCACCCTCCCTTGCACACCCCCCCCCCCAACCCCTTCAGTCACTTACTTGAATCTAGCGCCAATGTCCCTCTGCGCTGGGTCACGCACCGCCCATGCTCCTCCCCCACCATCGGCTAGCAGGGGAGACCTAAAGCACATACGCGACAATGGCCCCGTTCGCATTAGGATTTCCCCATAGGAAAGCATTAATCAATGCTTTCCTATGGCGATTCCGGTGACGCTGGAAGTCCTCATGCATTGCTTGAGGATGTCCAGAGTCATTTAAGCACCCAGAAGTCCCTCTAGTGGCTGTCTAGTAGACAGCCATTAGAGGTGGAGTTAACCCTGGGATGTAATTATTGCAGTTTCTCAGGAAACAGCAATAATTACCACAGTAGGGCTAAAGGACATGGGACATTGCATCCAGACCACTTCAATGAACTGAACTGATAGGACAGGAATCTAAAATTAAAATAATGTTAATTAAGAGAATCACCTCCCCATATCCAGCAGTCTTTTTTTTTCTGTCCTTATGTTGAATTGGGCTCTATTTGAGGTGGTAAGGATGCACGATTACCTTATATTGCTGTCTTCCGATTTTGGGTGTTCCAAGATGACCGCTGTGATTGTTTGATGGGGTTGTGAGTACAAATTTCTCTTCTTTGCAGTCGTTTGAGGCTTATTCTCTGCTCTCTGAAGCATCTTTGTTTCTCGATCAGCAAAAATCCAAGATGGTCAATCGATTTAAGCATGCGTGGGATGGGCATAAGGCTATCCTAACTATAAGATAAGACTAGGGACTAATTAAAGTATTTAGAAAATTGGGCAGACTAGATGGGCCGAATGGTTCTTATCTGCCGTCACATTCTATGTTTCTATGTTTCTATGCTTCTATGTTTCTATGATGTCTTCCTTTGGTCATCTCGCACGCGCGGGCAGGCTTAAAGTGATGGTAGGGTATTTAAGGACGTTCCAGTTTTAAGCTTTTTTTTAAGGTGGAACTTGCTCCTGGATGTTCATTGTGATTCTTTTACTTTTAAAGTGTTGATGTGAGCTGAAAGTTGCTGTGAAATGTGGGAATTTACTTAAACTTGTTATTTGGAAATGTTTTGGACGAAGCAATATCTAAGGCTGCAGAAGGGGAAAAAAGCACTACATCACAAAATAGTAGAAGCAAAAGATATCCCAGTGGAAGTGGAAGAGGCTATGGAGAACAAACCTCATTTCAAGACTCCAGAACATATAAACCTGGAAGAGAGTATGCTAGAGTACTGTGACGAGAGCAATCTCGCCACATTGCATTGGAGAAGCCTGGTTGCTCGCCTGTTGCCTCTGGACTATGGCCCCATGGTAAAACTTGTATTTTCCCCTGCAGAAAGGCTTATTTGTGCCTTTCTGCCAGGGTGTTCGGTAAACTCTATGTACCGAACAACCGCACGAATGACTGGACCGCCTGGGAGCTGGAGTGTGTCGGCAATTTACCTCCCAGAAGCTGCGGTTAACCGCAGCTTAAAGGACCACTATAGTGCCAGGAAAATATACTCATTTTCCTGGCACTATAGTGCCCTGAGGTTGCCCCCACCCTCAGGGACCCCCTCCCGCCCGGCTCTGGAAAGGGGAAAAGAGGTAAAACTTACCTTTTTCCAGCGCTGGGCGGGGAGCTCTCTGCCTCCGATCCTCCTCCGTTCCTTTCCGTCAGCTGAATGCACACGCGTGGCAAGAGCTGCGCGCGCATTCAGCCGGTCGCATAGGAAAGCATTATGAATGCTTTCCTATGGACGCTTGCGTGCTCTCACTGTGATTTTCACAGTGAGAATCACGCAAGCGCCTCTAGCGGCTGTCAATGAGACAGCCACTAGAGGATTTAGGGGAAGGCTTAACCCATTTATAAACATAGCAGTTTCTCTGAAACTGCTATGTTTATAAAAAAATGTGTGAACCCTAGCTGGATTAGGCACCCAGACCACTTCATTAAGCTGAAGTGGTCTGGGTGCCTAGAGTGCTCCTTTAATTGGGTAGTACAATTACTGGGTGGTCGCGGTTACACCTAGCCGCCACACGATGGCGGTGTTATGGAAGCCCCCCCCCCGGGTAGCCAGCGCTTGTTCTACCCAGCGGCAGGACACCAAAAGCGGACACTTTGTCTTCCAAGCCCCGCTGAGGCTGGAGGTCTGCAAACCCGTTCGGGAACCAAACAACGGAGCATTCGGGACTTTTAGTGTTGCAATGTATTCGGTGTAAAAGTACCCAGATAGACTGCCATGGAGCCTGTTCGTGGAATTAAAGACTTTGGCTCCATGGCAATTGAACTGTATTCGTGTGGTCTGAGCGCCTTTTGCTTAATAATGTGTGCTCAGACCTGAGCTATCTGGGGATATGTTAAATGTATATATTTATTGTAACCTTTCTAACATGGGGGATTTTAACAGTAATTCCTATATTGGTATCCCCACATGCATAATGGCGATTTGCCTTTGTCCTGGGAGATAATTGAATTACTTCTCAATTGTCTCCAGGGCAGAGGGGAGGAAGCCAGGATGCATTGTGGGAATATAATGTGACTGTGTGTCCTAGATTGATGCTTGTCTGTCCTTGGTTACAATCTCCCATTTGGTCCCCTAGGGGAGTGTCCACCAGGTGGGAGACCTGCATAAATACTGGGCAGGTAGCCCTCATTAAAACAGACCACTGCTTGACCCTCAACACGGAGCCTTGTCTCGTCTTTGGGGGGGGATTTACTGTATGCTGATAGAGACTGATTGCTAGGAGTGTAAGCCGCTTGGGTGCTTTTCCTATTCGTCTGCTAGCAGCTATTTGTGAGGTTCCAGTTCGGGAGTTTGGAGTGCTATATTGTATGCAGTTCGGGAGTTTAGAGCATTCCCTTATATGCGGTTCGGGAGTTTGGTGTTCTGCAGTAGCCTGTATCTCTGGAAGGGGAAGATCGACTAAGCGGCGGTTTAACCCTTTTATGCTGAGGGTGCCGTTACAAGTACCATATTGGAAAGGACAACAGAGTCAACTCTCCAAACATCAAAGAGAAATATCATTCTGAAGGTGGCAGGGGACAGATAGTCAAGCTAAACCCCGTTTTGCAAGATCTCTTGAAATCTCGGCCTTGCATATCAAAGACCAGTGGGTTCTTTAAATTATAGACAAAGGATATTTTCTTGAATTCAAAGAAAATATTCCATCCATTATGGTCAAGTCTTCAGCATCTCAAGAAAAAGAAGCCCCAATGAATGAATATCTAGAAAAACTACATCAGCAAGAAGTTATTTGTCACATGCCCTCAAGAGAAGTATTTCAATGTGTTTACTCCCCTGTTTTTCTCACCCCTAAGCCATCTGGGAAATGGAGGATGATATTAGACCTCAAGAAAGTGAATACTTTTCTGAAGAAGATAATGTTCAAGATTGAAGGTCTTCAAACAATCACTCCTCAAACGTATTCATCAGAATGGCTGACATCCATAGACCTTCAGTATACGTATTACCAGTTCGCTATAGCTGTATCACACAGAAGATTCCAGAGGTTTTTTTTTTCCATATTTATTTTTTATTGGTTTTGGTAGTACTCCAGTGCATGGCACCGTGAAATAATAAAACATTTACAGTGTTGGTACAAATACAGAGATAGAGTTATTCAGTGGATTGACGATGTTGTGATAATATTGCAGTGACAATGACAGTGATGCAATGCCAGCATTACTATTAATACAGTACTAACGGTAACATTACTGCACAACAATACATACAATACGATACAATACCTTACACTGTTGCTGTCATAACGGCTCATTGATCAAATGTGGCCTCATTAGCTTATATATAGAAGTTTATCTAATATGATAATGCGAATAGTAACGTTAGTGTCGACATCAGCACAAATGCATCGCCGATGTTGTGTTTTAACTCCGTTTGTATGACAGCTCATTTTTGTTTTTGGCTGGAGCTATAGACATTTGTGCTATCTGTCGTTGATGTCCACATGGGCTTCAGTTTCTATCACACCATGCATCCGGGTACAAGGGAGGAGAACAAAGGGAGGAGAACAAAGGGTTGAGGGAAGGGTAACTTTCAACAGTAACTCTACTAATATAACCATGTACCTAAATTTCTCTGTTTGGTATTACTATCGGACCTTGTGGTGTGACTTGTTAGTGGCAAGGTTTGTGACATGTAGAATGTAGTATAAGTATTATAGCTGGTGTAACTGGTATAACTGGTGTAATCCTCCTATTATTTCTCTGGGGCGTGTGATTATCGTGTCATAGTGCCTCATTCATCTGCGTCGTCCAATGTACGGATATTAATCCATCCGCACCATTGGATCCCATGTTTTTCCGATGTACCTAGTAAGTTGTGCGCCATTCTCTCGTACAAACACACGTTGTCCATTCTCTTTATTACATCCTCAATTGTCGGTGGTATTATGGCCTTCCATTGAGAGGCTATCGCTATCTTGGCTATAGTCAGTATGTTTATTGCAGTCATGGTCGCTGGAGGTCTTACTGAGTCGCTCGTAGGGAGCATGTGCAGCAGGTAGTGTATAGGGTCTAATGGTATGGCTAGGTTAGTTGTTTCGCGTATAAGTGATTGGACTGAGGTCCAAAACGGGGTTATGATCTGACAGTCCCAGAATATGTGAAGTAGCGACCCTGCCGTGCGGTTACATCTCCAGCACAGCGGGGAGGAGTTGGGGTACATTCTCGCCAGTCGTGAGGGAACTAGATACCAGCGCATTGCTATCTTGCAGTATGCTTCCCAGAGAGATAGGCTTTTAGATGCCCGTTTTGTTAAGTAAAAGGCCTCATGCCATTGTTTCAAAGTGAGTGTTGTCCCTAGATCTCCTTCCCATTTTTCCATGTAAGGAAGTTTATGTTCAGCTTTCTCTCGTTCCAGTGCATTATAGCAAAGGGCTAGGGGTTTGACATGGCGGGATGTCAAAATGTACCTGGTAGAGGGAGTGTCTGACCGTTTTACGGGTGTTGTCGGCTTAGTGCTAGATTGCAGTATGTGCTTGACCCTTAGAAATTTGAATAGGTCCCTGGGGCTCAGGGAGAATTCACTTTGTAGGGTGGGGAACGTTTTTAGCGTGTTTTGATGATATAGGTCCTGGATCGTGCGGATCCCTAGGTTCGACCATGTTTGTAGGGGGAGGTCGGGGGAACTGGCCTGCAATGTCGTGAGTGGTGCTTCTCTGAACAGTGTCTGTGTGTCTAAGACCACTGAGGCCCATTGTTTCCATGTGTTTAAAGTGGTTTTGGTGCACCACAGCATGGTGCGCCCTATGGGTGTTGGAGATTCCAGAGGTTTAAAATCTGAAACAGTCAGTTTCAGTTCAAATGCATGCCGTTTGGCCTGAGTTCCGCTCCAAGGACATTTATGAAGATTCTAATTAGCCTGGTAGCCACTTTGATGGAAGAAGGAATAAGAATACTTATCTGGACGACATCCTAATTGTTAACGTATTCCAGAGAAACCTAAAAGAAGATACGGACACAGTTATCCAGACGTTACAAGGCTTCGGTTGGTTAAACATCATCAAGAGTCAACTTCAACCGTCACAGGAAATACATTTCCTGGGTGCTAATATCAACACAAGAGAGAACTGGATAACTAACGGAAGACAGGATAACCAGACTTCCTCGGAAAGTCTTTACAGCAGTAGTATGCAATCACATGACTGCCACAGATTATACGAGTCTTCTGGGAACGATATCATCAACAATCAGGTTAGAAAGATGGGCCCACTGGAACCTCAGAACAGCACAGAAAAATTTCTTCAGCACAGATCAGTTAATTCAAGAAAATCAAGAATTAGATTTAAAAAAAATAAATGGAAGACGAAGGAAGTAAGAATTTTTCTTTATTGGTGGATGAAAAAGGAAAATATAAGAGGAGGCTTTACGTTAGAAGAACCAGAATGGAATCTTTTGACAACAGATTCCAGTGGGAGAGGATGGGGGGCACAATACAAAAAACAGCTAGCCCAGGGAATGCTTGAATCTCCACTTGAATATCTTGGAAATGAGGGCAGTATACAAGGCTTTAAAGGCATTCAAGCACTTCCTGAAGAACAAATGGGTGAAAGTAAGGGTGAACAACACCACTGCCATTGTCTATGAGAGCTAAAGGTCAAGATGCGCGAACACAAAAATGGGAATATTAGCTTGACTATCTCTTCCCTCAGCTAATTCAGAGAACACTCAAGAAAATCTAGGAGGAGAAGGTAGAGGTTATAGCGATTTTTCCCTAATTGACCAAGGATACCTTTCTGTGAAACTACAATAATTACGTTATAGGGTTAGGACTGTCTCTAGGAGCTGTCAATCAGACAGCCACTAGAGGCACTTCCGGGTGGTTAGGCGACTTTTGCTCTGCTTGAGTACATCCAGCGTCAGTCAGTTCCCCATAAGAAAGCATTGCAGCATTAGTGCTAGGAATACAGCTTGACACTATAGTATTCCTTTAATAAAAAGCACCAAAAATAAACATTTTGGGACTCCTGTCCCTTTATCAATGTACAATGCCCAGCCTTAGGATTAATTTGTCTCACTATTTCTCCTAGGCCTGACACTTCTAGACACTGGTTGGAGATACCACCATCTAGAAGTGTCAATCGCCGCCGTCCCCCCATCGGCTCCTAGCTCTTCTGAAGAGGACCTGCTGGTAGAAGATGGCAGCACCTGCAAGGGACATGTTCAGTTGTAAGTAGAACAACAGATCACCAAATTCTGCAAAGTCCCTAGACGGTGACAATGCCACTTTAAGTGGGACTTATCCAAAGAGGAAAATAATTTTTGGTGCTAATTTTACAATTTTAAATACACGTTGTATTATTTTAAGAAAGTATGCAGTTAATTGTCTTTTATGGAAAAATGTAAATAGTTTTATATATCACAGTTATAGGTTCTTATTGATGTACTCTGATTTATTTATATTTTTCCCCAAGATGGATTAACTTTTGAATGTCACACAGTTTGATTTTGTGAGCATCTTTTTGTGTTTTTAACACACACACACACAAAAATTAAAATTAGTGGGTTCCCTGTTTGAATGAACAGCAGCTTTGTGTTTTTAATCTTGATTTATTTTTTAGTGCTTGCATATTAGGCAAACTGGAAACATTTTCTATGTCAGCTATGCTTTCTGTTCAGCAACTCTACGCTTACATTATAAATTCACTACGCATTCTTACTGCAGTAAATAACCCTGTGGTTTTTCTAAGTGCCCGATGTGGCCAAAACAGCAGACTGAAAAATTCTCCTCTCAAAATATTTTTTTAGCTTGGTTTTCATGGCCTAAATGATGCAACTCATATTACCACAATTCAGAATTTGCCAATTAACCCTTTGGTGTTTAACACCAAATTGCAAAATGTAAGAAAATTGTTAAGCAGACAAAAACAAACAAAAAAAAAACCTTAACCCCTTAAGGACACATGACATGTGTGACATGTCATGATTCCCTTTTATTCCCCTACTGGGATTGTCTCTAAAACAAGTTGTTGAGGAGCCAACTCGTAAAGAGGCCATACTAGATTTAATGTTAACAAATGGAGATTTGGTATCAGATATTACTGTAGGTGAAAGTTTAGGATCCAGTGATCATCAGTGAGTGTGGTTTAATATAAGAACAGAGACTGAGTCACAACACACAAAAACAAAAGTTTTAGACTTTAGAAAAACAGACTTTTCTAAAATTAGAATATGTGTAGAGGAGTCATTATCAGACTGGAGCAATTTAAATGGAGTCCAAGAGAAATGGGATTATTTAAAAGTTGCACTATTGAAGGCAACAGAAAATTGCATTAGGCTTGTCAGTAAAAGCAAAAAATTAAAGAAATCACTGTGGTACTCCGCAGATGTGGCCAAAATAGTTAAAAACTAAAAGTTAGCATTTAGGAATTATAAAAAAACCCAGAGTGAGGAAGACAAAATGATCTATAAGATTAGGCAGAAATAGGCTAAGCAAGTTATAAGAGCTTTCAAATCAAACACAGAAGAGAAAATAGCAGTCAGTAAAAAAAGGGGGACAAAACATTTTTTAGATACATAAATGAGAAAAGAAAAGTAAAAAAAGTATTAGTTAGATTAAAAACAAAAGAAGAAAGGTATGTAGAAGAGGATAAAGTTCTAGCTGACTGCCTCAATTAATATTTTTGTTCTGTATTTACAGATGAAAATGAAGGAAAGGGACCTCTGTTAAGAAAAAGGATAAATGAGTCATTTATTACACGTGAGTTTACAGAGGAAGAGGTTCTATTTCAAAAGTAAAGACAAATAAGTCAATGGGACCTGTTGGAATACACCCAAAGCTATTAAAAGAGCTTAGTGGTGTACTAGCAAAACCATTAACAGATTTATTTACCCAATCACTGTTAACAGGAGTAGTCCCAGAAGATTGGAAGTTAGCGAATGTTGTGCCCATTTACAAGAAAGGTAATAGGGAGGAGTCGGGCAACTATAGGCCAGTAAGCCTTAATTCACTAGTGGGGAAAGTGATGGAAACCATGTTGAAGGATAGGATTGTTGAACATCTAAAAACACATGGATTTCAAGATAAACATGGGTTTACTTCAGGGAGATCATGCCAAACTAATCTTATTGATTTTTTTGATTGGGTAACTAAAATTATAGATCAGGGTGGTGCAGTAGACATTTCTTACCTAGATTTCAGTAAGGCTTTTGACACTGTTGCACATAGAAAGCTTATCAATAAACTGCAATCTTTAAGTTTGGATTCCAATATTGTTGAATGGGTAAGGCAGTGGCTGAGTGACAGGCAACAGAGGGTTGTAGTTAATGGAATATATTCGAAGCTTGGACTTGTCACCAGTGGGGTACCTCAGGGCTCTGTACTTGGACCCATTCTCTTTAATATTTTTATTAGTGATATTGCAGAAGGTCTTGATGGTAAGGTATGTCTTTTTGGTGAGGATACTAAGATATGTAACAGGGTTGATGTTCCAGGAGGGATAATCCAAATGGCAAATTATTTAGGTAAGCTAGAAAAATGGTCAGAATTGTGGCAACTGACATTTAATGTGAATAAGTGCAGGATAATGCATCTTGGATGTAAAAACCCAAGGGCAGAGTACAGAATATTTGATAGAGTCCTAACCTCAACATATGAGGAAAGGGATTTAGGGGTGATTATTTCTGATGACTTAAAGGTAGGCAGACAATGTAATAGAGCAGCAGGAAATGCTAGCAGAATGCTTGGTTGTATAGGGAGAGGTATTAGCAGTAGAAAGAGTGAAGTGCTCATGCCATTGTACAGAACACTGGTGAGACCTCACTTGGAGTATTGTACACAGTACTGGAGACCGTATCTTCAGAAGGATATTGATACCTTAGAGAGGGTTCAGAGAAGGGCTACTAAACTGGTTCATGGATTGCGGGATAAAACTTACCAGGAAAGGTTAAAGGATCTTAACATGTATAGCTTGGAGGAAAGACGAGACAGGGGGGATATGATAGAAACATTTAAATATATAAAGGGAATCAACACAGTAAAGGAGGAGACTATATTTAAAAGAAGAAAAACTACCACAACAAGAGGACAGTGTCTTAAATTAGAGGGACAAAGGTTTAAAAATAATATCAGGAAGGATTACTTTACTGAGAGGGTAGTGGATGCATGGAATAGCCTTCCAGCTGAAGTGGTAGAGGTTAACACAGTAAAGGAGTTTAAGCATGCGTGGGATAGGCCTAAGGCTATCCTAACTAAGATAAGGCTAGGGACTAATGAAAGTATTTAGAAAATTGGGCAGACTAGATGGGCCAAATGGTTCTTATCTGCCATCACATTCTATGTAACCTGTTAAAAGTTTTGCTGTTACTTCTTTCAATTTACCATTAGTGTTTAGCAATGGTTTTTCATATATTGAAATATCTTTATTAGTTTGCAGTTACTTTGTCTCTTACCAACAGTTAAAAAGGACAGTTTCACTGTTCCATCCCCTCCCTTTATATCAAACTGTTTAGACCAGGGATCCTCAAACTAATGCCTGCCAAGGTCCAGAACCTAGCCCAAGCCACCGGATGTAACCTATATCTTCAGGGGCCCGGTCAGCGCTGCGGCCGTGCAATTGCGCGACCGGGCCCCTTTAAAAAATTTCAGCCGCAAAGTAGTGCTGGGAGGAAGGGACAGCCGGTCACTTCCTCCCAGCTCCCTCCATGTGGGAGGTAAGAAAGAAAGAAAGGCCATCAGCCACTGCCACCCTCCAGGAAAAAAAAGTAAGAACATTTGGCTCTGTGTGTGTGTGTGTGTATGTATGTATGTCTGTAAGTGTATGTACAGACATTCATACCACGCATGTATCTGTATCTATACAGTTATGTTGTATGTCAGTATGCGTGTCTATCTGTACATAGGTCAGTGTAGGTATGTATGTGCAGGTATCTATGTGTATGCATGTATTTCAGTATGTCTGTACGTTTGTGTCTGTATGTATTTCACTATGTGTATGTATGTCTATGTTTGTCAGTTTGTGTCTGTATGCATCTCAGTGTGTATCTGTATGTATGTCACTGTGTTTCTGTCTGTATATCTGTGTGTAAGTATGTGTGTGTGTATCTATGTACCTGTATGTGTGTCTGTGTATGCATTTCAGTATGTCTGTATTTGAGTCTGTCTGTAAGTATGTTTGTCTGTCTGTCAGTGTCTATGTATGTCCTTATGCGTGTGTGTGTCTGTATGTTAGTATGTGTCTGTGTGTCCTTTTCAGGATGTATAGGAATTAGTTTAAATTTGTTTTAAACTATAGTCCGGCCCCGTTTAAAAAGTTTGAGGACCCCTGTTTTATACAAACCATGGATCACCCCAGGAACCTAAAACCTGCCACCCATTATATTTGCAATCCCAAATGAACAAAAATGAGATTGATGATGTTGAAATTAAAATGTAGGATTTCCTGATGTAATAGAGAGTTTGTCAAACTGCTTCCAAATGGTTTGATATAGAAAGCAGGAAACGGACAGATTATAGGCAGTATAACAATTACATTATGCAGCAGTAGTTATAGTGCCCCTTTGGCTATTAAGGACAATGTGCAGGGGTAGGGGTATCAAGGACTATAAGTGCCCCAAGTCCTTCACTTACCTTTAGTGAGATGGACTTTCCAAGTGTTCAATAGCTTGAGTAGAGAGGCGCCCGTATTTCTCGCCGCTCAGCACGCAATGCGGCGTCTATGTATTCTATGTCTATGGTTTGTGCACACTGACCTTCGCACATTTACCCATTGGCTATCATTTATATTAAAAATCCAGTCTAGACACCATAACCATTGCAGCACACTGCAGTGATTATACTGCCAGGAGTCCCTATTTTCAAATTGTTTGACATCCACTTGAGTCACCCAATTTATTATTCTCCTTTCACTTTAACAACTCTAGGGACAAAATGCATTAAAGAAAAACCGAGAGACTCAAGAAATAGATAACAAATCTTTATTATAACAGATGCCCGATGTTCCTTTGAGGCTGCTGGCGCATTAACGGTTGGATTTGGCTACTCTCTCCAGTTCATCCTTTTTCTTGATGGCGTATGAATTAGAGGAGCCCTGCAAACAAAAAGTTATGTCAGACCCAATTTTAATTATTTTCTCATTAACCACTTCTATAGGGGGTCATACACATTCTGCTCACCTTGGCTGCATTGATCAGCTCATCAGCAACACACTCTGCAATGGTTTTAATGTTCCTAAAAGCAGCTTCACGAGCACCGGTGCACAGGAGCCAGATAGCCTATGGGCAAGAGGGGAAACAAAAGTGTTAAGACCACCAGCAATTGGATCACTAGTATAGGTCTAATTGACTTGTACTGCAACCCACACAGCTCACAAAATTATTTTTACATATCCGATTTATCAGATTCTGCTGCACTATAGAATAGAAACTCGCCATATGGTGATACCCTTGGGCTGCCTTAAATAAACTTGATCAGAATTAACAGCGTCATTGGACAGCCCTATGTTGCAATAACTACCACCCCTTCCCTGGCAGATCAATTCTTTTCCCTTATTCACCTGATTAACTCTTCTGAGAGGTGACACATCAACAGCTTGTCTCCTTACGGTTCCAGCTCTTCCAATACGAGTGGAGTCCTCACGAGGGCCGCTGTTAATGATGGCATTCACCAAGACTTGCAGAGGGTTCTGAAAAAAAAAAAAAGGCATTTTCATAAAGTTAAATTCTCAAAGACTACGTTTAAACAGTCAAAATATATAAAACAAAGTAGGGATAACTGTCACGTGGTAAAATCCTAACTTAACAAAAGTCAAAGCCTGCTAAGGAAAACGTGCTTTATCTCACTCAGCACATTATCTATGGAGACTACTGCAGGATCCTCCATAGATATCAATGTAGTACACGCGCAACGTCGACTAGAAATACACTAACAAAACTGATGAATAATTACCTCTCCTGTCAGCAGGTGGATGATTTCAAAGGCGTGCTTTACAATTCGCACGGTCATGAGCTTCTTGCCGTTGTTCCTCCCGTGCATCATGAGGGAGTTTGTGAGACGCTCCACAATAGGGCACTGAGCCTTGCGAAAGCGTTTGGCAGCATAACGTCCACCACTGTGTGGCAGGAACTTTGCATATTTCTCCTTCACGGCAATGTAATCCTGAGAATGAAAATACACAAAACAGAGAGGTAGTCAAGCTATGGACAGATATGACTTACAGCAGAATTGCATGAGTTGGTTTTAGCATACATAATTATTGTATTTCTGGACTTTAACTGCAGCACATATCAAACAAGAATGACAAATCTCCATCAATAGAGGGAAATTTAAAGTACATATATATTTTTCACAATCAGAAATGACTAATAATGGCTAGCAATTTTATTGATACATTTAATTAACCTTTACCTTAATGAATTATGTAACTATGTAATCAGAAGTAAAACAAGTTTAACTGCTAGCATGGACCTTGTATGTACGGCAGAAGTTATCTTTCAATTAGCAGTACTTGTCAATAAAGACTACACAGTCTACCTGTCTTAAATGACCTTATCAAAACCTGTGTAGGACAGGTCCATTTTAAACATGTCAAAAAATTACCAGGGTTTAAATTTTTTTTTATATCCAGGACTCGATACTGATGCTCCAGTCAAATTTCAAGTGCTTAAATATGTTGTGAAGTTCGGAAGCTTGTTACCTGCAGAGAGATGTCATTAATCTGGACATCATCTGTGCTCCACTTCCCAAACAGTTTAATCTCAGGGGTCTCGGACCCAACCGGAACAGTCTCCCAGTCTGCCATACTGCAAGAAAGAAAAGGGTAGATATCAGAATCTGCAAGGTACTTTCAATAGTAAGAACAAACATAACAAAATAAATAAATGTAACAGTTTCAACCAGATGTGTCAGGACTGTCATGATGCCATGGCTAAACGCTTGTCATAGCTTGCAAGAAGCAATGGTGGCACAATTGTCATCCAAACAGTCGGCTGCCTGACATTACCATTGTGGAACTCAATCAGTCCTTATAGAAAAACTATGTTGAGCTAATGTTAACTGCTCATAATGACCCTGTCTGCCATTTTTGTACTTAAAGGACCACTATAGGCACCCAGAACACTTCAGCTTAATGAAGTGGTCTGGGTGCCAGGTCCAGCTAGGTTTAACCCCTTTTTTAAAATAAACATAGCAGTTTCAGAGAAACTGCTATGTTTATAATAGGGTTAATCCAGCCTCCAGTGGCTGTCTCTTGACAGCCGCTAGAGGCGCTTGCGTGCTTCTCACTATGATTTTCACAGTGAGAAGACGCCAGCGTCCATAGGAAAGCATTGTGAAGGCTTTCCTATGAACTGGCTGAATGCGCGTGCAGCTCCTGCCGCGCATGCGCATTCAGACGAAGAGGAGAAAAGGGAGGAGAGCTCCCGGCCCTGGAGAAAGAGGTAAGTTTAACCCCTTCCTCTCCCCAGAGCCCGGCGGGAGGGAGACCCCGAGGGTGGGGCACCCTCAGGGCACTATAGTGGTCCTTTAAAAGTTAGCTATGCTGCTGGCTGAGCATATTGAGAAAAAAAAAATCCATGCAAAAGCAGGAAGGCCACAGATTTGCCATCCCTGAAGAGAGCACTGCAATAGGAGGTCTCTAATGGCATGTTATAAATCCAAAGAAAACCGTGCAAATTAATAAGCGTAGTGGAGTTATTTGCAAATTTAAGTATTCAGTATTCTGATCTGTTAGGCAAAAAACTAATCCCAAAACTACATTTAACGGACCATGTCCGTATTTAACATCAACATGGACTTTCACTTTGTATAGCAATGTAATTAAAAAGTTTAGCCACTTGTATTGCTGTAAGTTCAGATACTACAATATAGAAAACACTTTAAACTCAGTGTGCAATTGCTTTATAATGGTATTGTAATAAACATGTGACTTGCAGGCAAGTTTGTATTTGAACATATATTAAACGTGTAAAACCGCATGCAGTACACTTAAAACAATATACCCAAAGCATGCATGGTCTTCACACAATAACAGATCATAATAAAGTGGAAATAATATTAATCACATCCATAGTGAAGCACTGTATAACCTTATACTTCAATAAAAAATAATGTATAATGAACTAGCTGTATATAATTATACAGTAAGATCATAATTTAGCAAACAGCCCTAAGTCAGAGCGGGTCTCCCTATACAGAGTGTTCCCTAGAATACCCTATACAGAGTGTTCCCTAGAATACCCTATACAGAGTGTTCCCTAGAATACCCTATACAGAGTGTTATTTAGAATACCCTATACAGAGTGTTATTTAGAATACCCTATACAGAGTGTTATTTAGAATACCCTATACAGAGTGTTATTTAGAATACCCTATACAGAGTGTTATTTAGAATACCCTATACAGAGTGTTATTTAGAATACCCTACACAGAGTGTTATTTAGAATACCCTACACAGAGTGTTATTTAGAATACCCTACACAGAGTGTTATTTAGAATACCCTACACAGAGTGTTATTTAGAATACCCTACACAGAGTGTTATTTAGAATACCCTACACAGAGTGTTATTTAGAATACCCTACACAGAGTGTTATTTAGAATACCCTACACAGAGTGTTATTTAGAATACCCTACACAGAGTGTTATTTAGAATACCCTACACAGAGTGTTATTTAGAATACCCTACACAGAGTGTTATTTAGAATACCCTATACAGAGTTATTTAGAATACCCTATACAGAGTTATTTAGAATACACTATATACAGAGCAGGTCTCCCTATACAGAGTGTTCCCTAGAATACACTATATACAGAGCAGGTCTCCCTATACAGAGTGTTCCCTAGTGTTTTATAGAGGGATATGGCTGGAGTGGTCCAAGGCCTGGCAGTTCACGCTTTCCCTGCACTCCCTGCTCTCAGTGACTGTTATAGTAAGTAGCCGAGTCCTGCATGCGCTATCCCCAGTACTAGCTCTGATTCCCAGCCCGCACACCCGGATCCCGCCGGTAATAACCCGAGACAAGCACTAGTTAAAGGCGATTTACACTCACGTGTCTCCTCGGCCGTGTGTTAACCGGTCGGAGCTCGGAGCGGAAAGAGGCCGGGGCGGGGTCTCCCAGCCAGTTATACAGGGGCCCACACTTCCTCCTAGTCCTCGTTACATGGAGTCTGCCCTCACTTGCTGCACTGTGAAGTGAATGCACGCAGCGTGCACGGCGCCATGTTGGCTGAGGGCACGGCGTCAGACGTCACTTCCGTGATGCCATTTTGAGAATTGGCAAAGCCAACTTGAAACGCATATTGCAAGGGAGCCGCCATGATAACTGCTGGCAGACCAGCATGGATTCACAGGAATTTTAAAGTTAGGGTTTGCCAGGTTGTCATGGCATATTATTTGGGTTAAATGTAGCTCCACTAAATGCACCGGTAGCTATTATATTTATATATATTTACTATGGCGTCATGGAATATTCTATAGTATTACTTCCAACGTTGTCCCTCTATTAGAAATTCAGCATATTCTTTGAGTAACCTACATACCAATAGCAGCCAGAGCAGTATGAATAATTAACTTGGTAAAGGCATTTAAGCATGCGTGGGATAGGCATAAGGCTATCCTAACTATAAGATAAGGCCAGGGACTAATGAAAGTATTTGGAAAATTGGGCAGACTAGATGGGCCGAATGGTTCTCATCTGCCGTCACATTCTATGTTTCTATGTTTTTTTTTTTCAATTTCCCTTCATTTAGGAAGATAATATTTTTAGTGTATTGTGGATAGTTCATATATAGACAACATATTGTAGTAATTTGACAATATAGCTAACGTGGGAAAATCCTCTGACGTTTGGTCGATATGTTTAACTCAGTTTTTAATTCAGAGCTATTCTGTGGTTTAACGTTAAACGGTGAGTTGAAACCAAATCGCAACATATAGCTGTACCCGGTTTTCTAAATCAACATTTGTTTGAGTAGACTTTTGAAATTCGGTTTTCGGGTCTCTACAATTTGGTATTTAACGAATAAACTCCATGAAGTATTTTTCCAGCATTCTGGAACCTGAAACATGGCGGCAGATATGGTCGGCGACTATCACTCTTTCCTGCAGTCAGAGAAACTGTTTCATATGTGACCATGTCCATTCATTAGTCCATGAATTGACACGTTAATCGCAACATTTCAGGTGAAATGGACAAGTTGGAAAACAGAAAATGTTTACTAATCTATGACATTCCACCACTGCATTTAATGTAGGCCCTGTAACTGCTTCATCTTATTTAAATGGTCCCCTGGCAACATCATTCCATGCAGCATTCTAACCATATTTAATGTCTCACTACTAAACAAGATTCCCCAGCAGCTCATCTCATATGTACTTTTTGAGCTAATGAGGAAGCATTAGCCGGAGCAGCAAAGGGCAGTCGTAATTGGCTGACCACTCTTAGCCTATCACAGCCCTCAGCTGCTAGTATGAGCTGGCATGGCTAGAAGGAAGTGTGTAACCTCTAGAGTAGACTGTAAGCTCGTTTGAGCAGGGTTCTCAACTACCTATTGTTACTGTTACATTTTGTTATTGTCTTATTTGGTAAATTCCCCTATTTATTATTGTAAAGCGTTATGGAATAAGCTGGCGCTATATAAATACCAATAATAATAATCTCTGCTTAGCCATATTTCCAGTGGGGGCTGGACTGTGGGCAGCCAGGGATCCCAAATCATGTTAAACTGCTTGAAAATGGTTTAAAAGGTGTCACCTATGTTTCCAGTTAGGTTACGGTGGCCTTAAATTTAAAATGTATTAGTGAATATCCTGTGTATCACTGGCAGATCCGGGGTGCCACAGGGCAATTGCCCCCCCCCCGAGGCTCTCCCCTGCCGGCTACTGCAGGGCTGGCACTGTGCAAGTGCCAGCCCTGCAATGTGCCTGCGGACCGGGGAGGAAGATCAGAAATATCCCTCCCCGATCCGCAGGCACAGTGCTGGCAGCCGGCAGAGGAGTGAGAGAGGACCCGGGAGCTCTTACCTGCAGCTCCTCCGGGTCCTACTCTTGCGAGCATGGAGCATTTCCGCAGTTACCACGGCAACGCTCCAAATCTCGCGAGAGTGAACTCTAGCCCTGGAGCAAAGGGCTAGAGTTCACCTCACCACCACTGGGACCACCAGGGAATCCCCACTGGACCACCAGGGATGGAGAAATGTCCCCCCTCCTCCTCAATAAAGGTAAGAAGGGAGGGGGGACATAATTATATTAATTTTATTAAATAAAAATTTTAAAAAATATATTAAAAAGCCTCCCTACCCTCCTTCCCCCCCATACACACACTGCACACCCATAGACACATTTCCCCCCACACACATACATTGCCCCATACACACACACTGCCCCACAAACACTGCCCTCATACACACATTGCCCCATACACACACATTGCCCCCATACACACATTGTCCCCCATACACACACTGCACACCCATACACACATTGCCCCATACACACACTGCCCCACATACACACACATTGCCCCATACACACACACTGCCCCCATACACACATTGCCCCCATACACACACATTGCCCCATACACACATTGCCCCATACACACACACTGCCCCCCATACACACATTGCCCCATACATACTGCACCTTTAATACACACTTCACCCCTAACACATACCACTGCTCCTATGCCCTATATCCCAGCAGACCCAAGGTAAGTTGTCAAACTGTTCTTAAACGGTTTGGCTACTTACTCTGGGATGGGATCCTGGCACTACTGGCACCATAACTACTACACTGAGCTGTAGTGGTTATTGTGTCTGGATTATTTCTTTAAATAATCTACAAGTGCCCCTCCCGAGATCAGGCTCTGGATCCGCCACTGCTGTGTATGTGCTGTGTTTCAGTTAAAAAAATGCTGTATATAAGGATATTTGAAAAGAAAAAATCTCAAGCACTCACTGTGATTGTATCCAGGCAGGTTTATTTATATAAGGATATTAACCCCTATGCTGCTGGAGTGTAACTCCACTTCTGCCAGAGTCATTGGGCATCACTAGCCAGGGCAGAACAAGAGTTATAGGATGACTATAAGCACATTTGTTTAATAGCAATCCTGTGCAAAATTGGCATCCAACACCACCTGCCCTTAGTCTGCCTTCCCCTTCTCTCTGGCATGCAGAAGTGACAACAATCAAGGAGGGGAGAATTTAGCCATCAGAGAAAAGGTTAGTCTAACCGAAACCACTGGTTTTTGGTTGGAGTGACCCTTTAACATTAAATGGAGGACCCCAGGCACTATAATCAATTCAATGAGATGAAATGGTTACAGTGCCTGTATCTGTAGTGCCATTTATCTGTTTGGTTATGGTTAATAATCATAACACCCCGCCAATTACATGAGAAAAACGCATCTCTCACACCAGTATAAATTAAAGAAAATATTTTGGTGATCTGTCCATGGTGTCACACTGAGCAGTTTTAACTGATGCTCTCTATAAAAACTGTATGCATCTTTCAAAACTATATGGCTCTTTTACATTACCAGGGACAGAGATTACAAAAACATGCAGCTTTGAAAAAAGCACATGTTATTTGTAAACTGTGGTTGATTGTTAAAGGATCACTATAGGGTCAGGAACACAAACATGTATTCCTGACCCTATAGTGTTAAAACTACCATCTAGCCCCCCACAGGCCCCTCATGCCTCCATAAATAGAGCAAAATCTTACTGTATTCAAGCCTGAAGCTGTAACTCTGCATGCTGTTTGCCTCAGAAAAACAAGCAGTCTGCTGACATCAGCAGAAGTGGTGGCCTGATCCAATCACAATGCTTCTCCATAGGTTTGGCTGAGACTGACAAGGAGGCAGATCAGGGGTAGAGCCAGCATGGTTCAAACACAGCCCTGGCCAATCAGCATCTTCTCATAGAGATGAATTGAATCAATGAATCTCTATGAGGAAAGTTCAGTGTCTGCATGCACAGGGAGGAGATACTGAATGTTTGGATGCATTTTAGGCAGCCATGATCCAGGAAGAATCTCTAACAGCCATCTAAGGAGTGGCCAGTGAAATTATCACTAGGCTGTAATGTTAACACTGCATTTTCTCTGAAAAGACAGTATTTACAGCAAAAAGCCTGACGGTAATGACTCTACTCACCAGAACAAATTCAATAAGCTTTAGTTGTTCTGGTGACTATAGTGTCCCTTTAAATAGGAAGTGGTTCCCTTCTTTAAATTGTTCATTTAATTACATGGTAGGGGTCCCACTAAACAAGGTTTTAAAAAAAAAAAAAAAAATACTGACAAGGGAAATAAAAGTTTTCAAATAACGAGATTAAAAAAACTCAACAACTCAGCTCTTTTTACAATTCTCAGCAATTCCCAGTTCTCAAGTCATTATAAGTTTTAGATTGTAAGTTCACAAGCAGAGTCTTTAAAATCTATTGTATCAGACTTTGTGTGTCAAACTAACAGAGGTTTTTTTTTATTGTACTTGTTTCCAATTGTAATCTTGCCCACCTTCTGTAAAAAGAAGACTTTCCTTGTACATTTGAATTAAGAAATGTATCATAATGACTGCATGTTGTAATACTGGCCTACAGTGTTCAGATTCAACAGGACTTGGGAGAAAAAAATAGGATTGAAATCTACAATGCTGAAATATCTGTTAATGGCTAGCAAGTGACAGTATAGTGTATGTAGAGGCTCTGTTCGTCCTGTAGGGGTGTGTTTTTTTGTATGCCATAATAGTTTGCCAGAACACAGAAAACATTTGCCAATCACTTATTTTCATTACTAGTGTAATTTCAGTCAGCCTTAAAAGGGACCTAATGTAGAGGTGGTGTGATGTTACATTTGTCTACATTGGCCTATAGAAAGGCTCTGCCCACTAAGTGCCACACTCCCCGCATAACGGACTCTACTCGTGCTCATGTGCTATTTCACAATAACTCAGTAAACTAGTTAACAGCTAGTAAAATGATACTGTAAGCAGCAGTGGGAACATGGAAGCCAAACCAGTCACATGAAATACTTAAAGTGCACCTGTAATTAGACTTACAGTCATTACAAAAATGTAATTTCATCTATACCTTGAGCTAACAAATGCATAGGTGAAAATGTATTTAGCACCGTGTTAAACTGACCTTCCTACATCTAAGGTTACTATGAGTGGTACCCGTACGCTAAATAGTATGGGATATGGTGAGTTGGGTTTGGATTTTGAGTCCAGGGCACCATGCTATGTGTGTAACACGTGTGCAGGGAGTAATCTTCAGGTAAGTATACAGGCAATTCATCGGCACATTATGTCAATTAAAGTATTTATATCTACCTGAATGTTAACTTATCCACATGATTTGTACAATTAAAAATGTCCATATACAAGTAAAGTTAATGTAGCGTGTTTTGATTTCCGTTATAAACCCTTTTTCTATATCAGTAATGTTGAAATGTATGATTTGTCTATCATATTCGAGAGAAATACCGAGCATACATTTTCTGTAAAAGAAATGATCATGCAATGTGCACCCAGGTATGTATTTATTGGTAGCACAATCTCTATTGGCGTTTCTTCGCACTCCGGTCTCGCAGTCTTGCTGCGGCTTGATCTAAGCGTTGTCCCGAAAGCTTGCACTCCGAGTCATTCTTAAGCTGCTGTTGGGTGAACTGTGCAATTCTGATTTTTTGACGGGTTCTATCCAGAGTTTTCTGGAGGCTGGCTGAGCCCTAAAAAAGAAGGAAGATAAGGTTAAAGCACTTTGGAAACTAGCAAATATCCAGCACTGATAAGCTGTTGAAACTTGGGAGGTGAATTTATGAAAAGTATAATGTTACATTAATTTACGGAAACATTTACTACTGGACACAGGCAAGCCTCATCTGGCTCACGTAAGGCTGGATAAATCAGGGATAAATACTCAAACAACAGCTGAAGAGCCAAATTTGGACATCAATGTACTAGTCACTTTCTCTGTCCCGAGATGCCACATGACTTGTTTTATTCCACATCTACTGTCTCACCTCTGCAGTGTATGTGCTCTCAGGCAACTGGGTCACTGGATGTCTCTGAAGTATTTTTACCAGTGGACGAGTCAGACTTTCCCGTAACGTAAGATCTGTGCTAGCCAAAGGACCCTGTAAAATTCGATATAATATATTTGTCATTATGATGATAAAAATGTATTCACAAAATCCCTAGCTAAATGCAAAGCTGTGATCTGCGAGACAAAGATCCAACAATAATCACCTTTTAGGAATCTCAAATATGAATCGTGGTGCAACTTTCGTAACTTAACATCAGCTTACAGTTGCCTGAGTTTCTGAGTTCTGCCAGATTTGTAGAAATTCTACAAACTGTTGTCACTGTAAAATGGACCTACAACCGGCATATTCATATTCCTCGAAGTTTAATGGAATTCACACACTGAATCTAATGGTTTTAATTCAGTCGGGCATTGAGCATCCAAGAAAAGACACATGTTTAAGAGCTTCTCCTATGAGTAGTTTCTTCTGAAATAGTATTTTCGAACTCACTGTACCATTATGGAAGGAGCATATACTATTGGCATATTAGTCCGGTTTTCCCCATAGAGGCAGCCAGGAACAGATATCCCAGGCATGTTCCCCTCCACATTAGAGATACAACAACCCACTACAATCCACATAATTGTTTTAGCCTCTTACAAGCATCATCACGGACAGGGGGTAATGTATTCTGCCCAGTGACCAAGGTGTTCACATATGGATTACTGTGTACACATGGACATACCCTAAAAGTACACAAATAAGCAAGGACACCCATTCCATGCTTGGAAAATGGAACTCTACAACTGCTACTGATAAAGCATAGATTATATATATATTGCTTTAGACAGACCTCCAAATGCAGCCTAAGCAGAGTATGTTTGTGCACCCATTTCTTTTATGCCGATTGCTGTATTCCACAATGCCATTCCGCATTAAAAGATCCGGTTATGTACATACATCCAATGCCACCGCTTTATTTACAGAGCATGAAGAAAATTATAGGCAACATACACATTTTCATTTAAAGGGACACTATAGTGACCAGAACAACTACAGCTTATTGTGTTTGTTCTGGTGAGTAAAATCATTACCTTCAGGCTTTTTGCTGTAAACACTGTCTTTTCAGAGAAAATGCAGTGTTTACATTACAGCCTAGTGATAACTCCACTGGCCACTCCTTAGATGGCTGTTAAAGATCCTTCCAAACATTCAGTATCTCCTTCATTGATTCAATTCATCTCTACGAGGAGATGCTGATTGGCCAGGGCTGTGTTTGAATCATGCTGGCTCTGCCCCTGATCTGCCTCTTTGTCAGTCTCAGCCAATCCTGTGGGGAAGCATTGTGATTGGATCAGGCCACCACTTCTGCTGATGTCAGCAGACTGCTTGTTTTTCTAAGTCTAACAGCATGCAGATTTACAGCTTCAGGCTTGAATACAGTGAGAGTTTACTATATTTATGGAGGCATGAGGGGCCAAGGGGGGCTAGATGGTGGTTTTAACATTATAGGATCAGGAATACATGTTTGTGTTCCTGACCCTATAGTGATCCTTTAATATATATACATATATACATACATACATATATATAAATATATTTCCCTAAAATTACCCACCCAATGTGTAGAAGACAGGTCATCTTTAAAATAAAAGTAGTATAAAACACACAGAATCGCAGTGTATACGCACCAGCTGAAGGTTGTAGCTCTGCTCTACCTCATCATGAATCCTTTGCTCTTTCTGGATAAAGTTTCTTGAGTCTCCCAATGTGAGGGTCAGGTCCTCCTGCCGCAGAGAACACACAGTATAATCACATGCTCTATGCCAAAAGCTGTGTTTAGCATTTAACTGGTTGCACACATGTTGTTACCCGGATACGAGAACTCTCGCTAGCCTTCGTGCGAAGTGCCCCTGTGATGCCCTCTTTCATTTCTCGCAGGTCTGCTTGTTTCTGCCAGTTTGGGGGTTGTGTGTTTCGGAACATCTTACAAGTTGCCTGTGCCTGGTTGATTACAGCCCAGTAGGCTAACATGTGGCATCAGAAACAGAATAAGATCAGTCATTAACACACGGTTCACATCATCAAGGAATAGCATAGAATTATCAAGAAACAGCAGCGACCTACACGAATGAAACATATTACACCGGCACATTCAGGGATTTGTTGGAGAAGCAACAAACACCCAGGGACAATGCTGCACATGTGGTGGACATGCCCAGATCTGGGGAAAATGTGGACAGACTCCCTAATACAAAAGGTGACCAAGACTAACCTACCACAAGCACCTGAACACTACATCCTCCAGTGCCTACCAACTAGCATTAACAAAGCTGACAGATACTTAATATATCACATTACTTCTACCACACTCACAATTATAAGCAGAAAATGGTTGCAAACAAAACCTCCGCACATAAATGAATGCATTCAACAAATTGAAGATACAAAAAAGTATGAAATGGTGGCTAGAGCGCATAGACCCCCACAGGCATACTGGAGGGTGGCGTGGGAAAGGTGGAACAGGCACCAACACACGCCACAAACCCACTAATACAGAGCAAAGGCTCCAACGACAATGAACAATAATGAACAATAACGAATGGTAGTGTCATGGAAAACCACAAATGATGCACCAAGATAAATGACACAAAATGAGATAACACATATAAAATGGGTAGAGGCAACAAAGGTCGAACCTCTTCCCTACATCCCCCCCCACTCCCCAGTTCTTTGGGGAACAGTATCCTGGTTCTACCTCCCCCCATACCAATCCCAACCACCATTAAGAACGTACAGTACATTTCTAAGTTAAGACCAGAAACCAGCACAAACAGCACAACCACTAGAGCTCATCTGGAATAAAGAGCTGAAAGAATTATAATATGTATGATGTAACAAAGTATGGTGTAACTTAATAATCTTTCATCTCAAAAATGTGAACTGATAGCATGTGCATATTGTAACGCTTACTCTAACCAATGTACCATGTTGGAATGTAAATCTGTACACATTGTAAAACCATAAAAATTGCAACAAAAAAAAAAAGAAACAGCAGCGAGTTATTATTGCTTAGTAAGAAGAATCTTCATCATGGAAGAGCAATAAGTGATCATGTTCTAACTGAATGCTGTCACATTATAGCAAGAGAGGAGTCATTTAAATTCATAGAAATCAATATTTAGCAGAAAGCCATGACAATATAACAGTTATCCACTAAAATATAGCAGCAACATTGAGATAACGCAGTGAGAGTCAGGCGTGTTGCTAGGTTCCAGAAACACCTATAGCGTGAGCCCAAAGGAAATCTTGGTGACCCCTACACTATCATGACATGTATCTGCCGTTCTATATTATGGCCCCTACTGTTTATGAATGGCATGTCACACTACCTAAAAGAGGAGTGTGTAGTAAAGTTATTTTCCCCAGTACCCCTCACGACTGTCACCTGGGGGGCATGAAGAATTATACTACTGATATTTATTTTTGTCATATTCAACTGCTTCTCAAATAATGAATTAGAATTAAAAATAAATAAAAACACATATTTTTTCTGTCTCCAGTATCAACTGTAGAGATCTGGGACTAAAGAGCCCCACATCTTGGGATTATACCCCCAAAGCTCTCTTTAATCAACACCTATGGTGAGAGTGACCATGATTTAGCAGATCGAGTCATTGTGGGATAGCAGTGAGTAATTCTACAGTATAGACATCAAAATAAACAGTAAAAGGTAATTAGATATGTTTCATATTAAACTGAATGTACATAAACATATAATCTGTTCATTGCTCTAGCGGAATAATTATTAATGCTACTAGTGTTGTCTTGTCAGAGTGGTTTTATCATTTCCTGTTGCATCTTGTCTTAGTATTTTTGATTAAGTCTTACCAAGAGCCTTTAGCAATGGCTCCATTATTAAAAAAATAAAATAAAAAAAATAAAAAAGCAAACTTATATGAAGGGGACCTTGCCATTTTTGGCACAATTTCTTTCCTGGTCTGCAAACATGCATTTGTGCCCACAATGTAGAACACATGGCCAAATAGATTGCATTCTGTGCATTATGATTTATGCAGAGATACAAGTACACCTGGTTGCATTCTGTGCATTGTGATTTATGCAGAGATACAAGTACACCTGGTTGCATTCTGTGCATTGTGATTTATGCAGAGATACAAGTACACCTGGTTGCATTCTGTGCATTGTGATTTATGCAGAGATACAAGTACACCTGGTTGCATTGTGTAATATTATAATTATCAAGGCTACGTTACTAAAGAGGCCTTAAAGGGACACTCCAGGCACCCAGACCACTTCTGCCCATTGGAGTGGTCTGGGTGCCAACTCCCACTACCCTTAACCCTGTAAGTGTAATTATTGCAGTTTTTATAAACTGCAATAATTACCTTGCAGGGTTAACTCCTTTTCCTCTAGTGGCTGTCTACTGGCTGACGTCGGCGGGGGAGGAGCGTGGGCGGACCCTAAACCACTGCCGAGGGACATCGGTGGTGGTCTCAGGTAAGTCACTGAAGCGGTTTTCACCCCTTCAGCAACATGGGATGGGGGGTGGGAGGAAGAGGGGACCTGCAGTGCCAGGAAAACAATTTGTTTTCCTGGCACTGGAGTGTCTCTTTAAAGTTACTTTCTGCTGCAAACCATGGCACACTCACCAGGGCTGAATTTTGACTTGCCAATGGCTAGTGTGGACAATAACACAGATTGATGAATGTACAGATCGATTCCTTAGAGTGTTATATAGCAGAACATTGTGATAACAGTGAGCTTTCATTATACAGGAGAGCCTTTGTCTAAATGTGTGCCCCAATATTCCGTAGCTTGAGATGTTCGAGTACCTGTCTTGTCTTGCCAGAGGTGATTGTTGTTCTCAGGCATCTCTTGTCCCACAGCCGGTGGTTTGGATGTCTCGCCAACAAGATCTAGTACTCGACTCCTTTCTTTACAAAACTCAGATAGTTTCTGGCGGTTAACATACAGAGCCTGGGGGGAGGGGAGAAACACATTGACCGATAAAATGCAACAACACAGTTGTACACTCAAATTAAGATAAATGTTCATTCTCACATGTTCTAGACAATTCTGACCTTAAGTTGTCGTGAGACTTCATGCAGCTGATTCTCTGAATGTTTTTTCTCATCTAAAAGGCTTTTTTGCTCCTCTCGTAGAGAAGTATCAACTTTATCTGGGTACTGCAGAGAGATTGAGAGAGATAAAATAAGAGACAAAAAACAGATACCCTAAAGAAGGTATTTACTAAATTGTACAAACACAAACAGTAGGATAAGTGACGCTCAACCAAAATAAATAAATAAATAAACAAATCCCAGTGCGTCTAAAACCAAACCAGTGTTTTAGTCACCTTAAAACACTTACATTAATATAAATGGATACAAGGAAAGGTGGTTTTGCGCACACAATGGATGCTTGATGGGATAATCTGCAATATAGACAGCTATCATAGACAATATAGAAAATAATTAGGAGCACTCACACTTTAGAGAGCCATATGAGTCGGCTCTCTACTGTAGTAGTATGTAGAATACTCTGTAGTTGGAATGGTCCCCCAGGAACTCAAGTCTGGATACAATCAGGAACCAAAAAATAAAACTTAAATAAAATGTTTTATTTTGAAATAAAAAACTGGATAAGCACAACGCGTTTCGACCATTAAAAGAGGTTTTCCTCAGGTGCAATGATAAAACAAACATTCAGTATACTTTTATACCTAAATAAATTACAAAATAGCACACACATGTAAAGAAATTACAAACCACACCCACCCAGACCCATATATGGGAATTCCGGTTCCCGTTCCCCTCCCAATATGGAGTCCTTGCATTATAAGTTCATACAGGATGACCTTTTCAAGATGGTAGCTTGGTTTGGATGTTTGCCGTCCTGTTTCGTGACTTCCGGTATTTTGCTGGAACGTCACTTCCGTTTTCGTCACTTCCGGTTCGCGGCATATCTATTATTAACTTCCGGTTCGCGGTTTATTTTCGTTTTATAGAAAATAGTTTTATAGAGATTAACAGTTGTCATTATGATCCCTGGCTGAGCAATATACCAAAAGGGCATTTTAATGAACAATCAGAGATTTTAAAACAACAGTTTATACAAAAAGGGTATAAAGAGGATATACTTCTGCAGAATTTCAGAACGGTTGATGCTATCACAAGATCTGATTTACTGAAGTATAAAGATAAACAGGAGAAACCAAAAACAAGTCAAATCCCTTTTATCTTTAATTATTCCAGTAATACAGGAATTCTTAAAAAGACTATTAACAAAAATTGGCATATTCTACAACAAGAGCATGATATCAAGGAATTCTTAGGAGAAACACCCAAGTTTATTTTTAGGGGTGCAAGGAATTTGAAGCAAATCCTTACATCTAACCATATACGTGAAGAAGAAAAATCCACATTTTTGGATGATTGGTCTAAAACACAAAAAGGTTTCTTTCATTGTGGGTATTGTAACGCCTGCAAAAATACTTCTGTTTTAAAAAAAAAAGAAAGATACATTTATATCATCTATAACCAATAAACAATATTCCTTATCCTCTTTTATCTCGTGTGAATCGAAAAACGTAATTTATCTCTTAAACTGTAAATGTGGTTTGCAGTATGTAGGTAAAACCTCAAGATCTTTAAAAATACGTATAAATGAACATATTATAAATATAAGAAAAGGCTTTCCAAACCACAGTGTTTCTAAACATTTTCTAGAAATGCATCAATCTAACCCTAGAGATTTAGAATTTATGGGCATTCAAAAAGTTGCCAGTAACTGGAGAGGCGGAGACAGTGCCCTTAACTTGAGCAGAAATGAAAGTACCTGGATTTTTCATCTACAGACAGTTTATCCTAAGTGGTTAAATTTAGATTTTGATATTGGTCCTATTTTATAATCATATTTTGTGCTCTTTTTTTAAATCATTTTTGAGGTTTTTATTAATATTATGCGTTATTCATTATATATTATGTACTCTTTTATATATATATATGTTTTATATTATTCATCTCTTTCCCTGGTAAAACATAATGAAAGACTTTTATTAATGAATTTTTTTATTGGTATTCTATTTATTGTTTTTTGTAAATATATATTAATTTACCCTTGTTTTACTCTCTCTCTGTTTTGTGCATTATGGGACTAATGTATATGGACTTTGAGGAGTGGTTCTTCATGCTAATCAGAGGGAGGCTGGTCACTCCTCCCCCTGTGTGATGAACCCGGAAGTGATATTTCTCCTAATATTGCCAAAAACGAAAATAAACCGCGAACCGGAAGTTAATAATAGATATGCCGCGAACCGGAAGTGACGAAAACGGAAGTGACGTTCCAGCAAAATACCGGAAGTCACGAAACAGGACGGCAAACATCCAAACCAAGCTACCATCTTGAAAAGGTCATCCTGTATGAACTTATAATGCAAGGACTCCATATTGGGAGGGGAACGGGAACCGGAATTCCCATATATGGGTCTGGGTGGGTGTGGTTTGTAATTTCTTTACATGTGTGTGCTATTTTGTAATTTATTTAGGTATAAAAGTATACTGAATGTTTGTTTTATCATTGCACCTGAGGAAAACCTCTTTTAATGGTCGAAACGCGTTGTGCTTATCCAGTTTTTTATTTCAAAATAAAACATTTTATTTAAGTTTTATTTTTTGGTTCCTGATTGTATCCAGACTTGAGTTCCTGGGGGACCATTCCAACTACAGAGTATTCTACATGCTATTACAGTAGAGAGCCGACTCATATGGCTCTCTAAAGTGTGAGTGCTCCTAATTATTTTCTATACCAGTTATTGGTTTATGCATATTGCCCTATGATAGCTGTCTATATTGCAGATTATCCCATCAAGCATCCATTGTGCGCAAAACCACCTTTCCTTGTATCCATTTACTAAATTGTGTTAGGCTAGAGAAGTCATTATTCTACTGATCAATTAAGCTGATGGAATAAAAAGTTTCATAATAAAGACTCTAGCCTAGAATGCCACATTTTTCGCTTTATATCCCATCTCTTTGTACTCCGCACATACCCTAGTAAATGTAGATATTATAATTAAGTGTAGAGAGGACATGACAAGAAAGTATGAACAAATAGGCCCTCTGGACAACTGTGAGGGTTACTCACTAAAGTAAGAATTGTCCGCAATTTTAAGGGAATTTAAAATTTAAGGCCAATATAGCTGAACTTGAAAAATTTCCCAGGCCAGCTATGCTTTAACTTCGGTTACGTTGGCCTTCAAATTCACTTTGAATTCCCAACAATTCTCACTTTATTGAAAAACCCTGTGAGATGTAAACACTTTTGTTTGCCCACAGACACCCAACGAAAACACTTGAGAAACTTCTCACCTTCTCACTCTTTGGCCTTAAATTCCGGATCTGAACTGTTTCTTGATTGGTGACGATGTCTTTCCTCACATTAGCATGAGCTTTCTCCAATATATCTCTCTCTTTGTGCAGTCTTTGAATATGGCGGTTGGTCTCAAGAAGGGCTGCTCTCAGACGATACATTGAAGCTCGCGCATCTCTCATGTAGGTCAGTGCGACAGCATTGCATGTCTGTGCCATTAAGTCTCTGTGGAATGGTGGAGGTGCTATGCATTGTCTCGAGGTGCTCCTGGATTCAAACTCTGCACTTTTCAACTTTTGCCTGTTACCAATAGCAGTAAATGGACGCCTATGAAGGGCATGAGCCACATTTATTGTTCGATAAGAGGCGTCCTGCCATGTGGCCGAGCCCACTCTAGGAGTCGTCATGACAAAAAACGCTAATGTCCTCAAGTGATCTGGGGGAGAGAGAGAGAATTGGGTAAAAAAAATCTAAACTATCACCATGTTAAACTGTAAGGAATTCTACCCAAATTATTCATAAAAAAGTGCAAAACTAAACCTCATATTATATTTCTATCCTGATCCTTTAAGCACTACTTATTGTTCTTTAGTGGTGCTGGCAGGATTCTTATTGTATATAAAGCCAATATTGAGAAAAACAACTACTGTGAAATTATATCAACTGCTGCCATTTAAAGGAACATTCTAACAATAAGAATACGAACATGTATTCATAATGTTAGAGCGAAATAGAGGCTTTTTAGATTTGTAGTAATATAAAAAGTAGTAATATGAAGAGTTTTACTTACCATTATTCTCCCGGCGTGCCATTATTGCTGAGACCATACCTCCTTCTCTGGCTGAGATCATCGTTACTGATGATGCCAGTTAATTAAATGCTTCCTTATGGGGACGTTTTGGGGGTTGGTGCACATGCTCGGTAATCTCCAACTGAATGCATCTCTATGGGGACCGTTTGGCACCTCCATGCAGAGCTTGGAGACGCTGTATATCGGCTCTGCAAACATTGCAGGACCAGACCAGGAAGCCCCTCTAGTGATGGTCACTCGGAGGTGGCCTTAGGAAGCATGGACAACACTGACTTTGTCTCAGAGAATGCAGAGATTGACTATACTCCCCGGAACATGTAGTGTTTATGGTTCTTAGATTGTCCCTTTAAAGGGATACTACAGCCACCCACATATGGTTTGATGCAATGTTAGGTTACAGTTAGTTACACCAGGTTTTTTTTTTGAGATTTTAAAGTGGATTTTAAACTTAAAGTCAAAATAGGCAAACTGAATAAAATTCTCTAAGTTAGCTATGCTGGCCTTACATCTGAAATTCACTTGTAATTCTCCATTTACTGGGTTATTTACCAAAGTGAGAATTCAAAGTGAATTTCAAATTTTAGGCCAAAGCATCCAAACTGAGCATAGCTGATTTGGTGGATTTTTCCAGTTCGGCTATTTTGATCTTAAATTTGAAATACGCTTGGAATTTTCACTTAGGGAATAACCCTGTTAGAGTAAGCATAGCCTGCAGCACTGTACCAATAGGGGAATAAATAAATACAATGCCATTTTTATTCAGAGAACAATTCAGATTGCCATACACCTCTTTAATCTCCCCGCCTTGCCTCACTGAGTCACTGCTAATGCTTCTAGAGCAGCATTATGCTAAGTAAATTTTTTTTTAAATAATATTTTTTTTCAATAAGTCCCTTTTATGCCAGAAATCCTTTTTTTTTTTGCTCTAATTACAGAGATGTAGTTAACTCATTATACACAGCTGTGTTATCCTGCAGAGCAAAGGTTTCTGGGATGTTGTGTTGTTGTTCCATTAGAAATCTGTTATTTGGACTACACGGTCCGGAACCCCCAGTGACAGTATACAGTTTATGGGATAAAACCAGGTATCTCGGGGTTAAAGGGACATCACGACTGGCTGAGTTGGTTGGTAGTCTGAGCAAAGTTCACTGGAGAAGCTGCAAAGCCTGAAGATTTGCAACAAATGCAGGAACATTAAATCGTAAGTACTAGGGTTTTCTTGTTTAGAATTTCTTGTTAGTGCTAATATTAGATTATTGCATTATCAAACTAATGTATGACAATGAATAGTCTGGGAGTGTCTCTTAATTAATCAAGGAATAATGTCTAAGGCAGGGATTTCCAAGCTAGTCACCAAAGCACACCTATATTTATACACTGTATTTAGACATTTACCAATTGGTAAATTCGAGTGCATCTCCTGACAAAATGTGAACTATTGCAGGGCTGTTTACTAAACTGAGAATTCAAAGAGAATTTCAAATTCAAGGCCAAAGTAGGTGAACCGAGAGCATGGTTGATATGCTGTATTTGACTACTTTGGCCTTAAATTTGGAATTCACTCTTAATTTCTGACAATTCTCACTTGAGTGAATAACCCTGTTGATGTGCTGTGATGAAACTACTGCTCTAAAGAACTATTTCTGATTAGCTAACTCAATTCCCAACATGCACAGCAAAGCAATTTGCAAGCTGTCAGAATGTATAATTAAAAGGGTCACTATAACCATTTTATACTAATTTTACTGGGCCCTACTAAGTACGAACACCCCAGATTGCAACCGCAAACCTTGTGAATAATGTAAAAACGTTCCTTAGGAGTGTTCAAGAAAGGGAGGGTATCACACACAAAAAAATCTATGATTATTAACCCCTTAAGGACACAGCTTCAGAAGCTTGACTTACGCTTAATGACACAAGCAATTTTTGCATTTTCTTGCTGTTTGCGTTCAACTGCAATTTGCATCTCTCTCATTTATTGCACCGACACATATTATATACTGTTTTTAAAGGACAGAAAGGGCTTTAATTTGATATAACATATATATATATAAATGCTTACTTATTATAAAAAAAATACAGAAAAATGCAAAAAAAATGAAAAATATTGGTTTTTTTTACAGTTTTTGCAATAATAATGTGTGCATAATTAGTGCAGGTTAAGGAAAGTAATTAAAAATAAATTTATTTATTTGTTCTGATTTACAGAATATATAATGTGTCTGGGATTTTAAGTTTTTTTTGGTAGTTACAGGTCACAAAGCACAAGGAGTAAAATAAAATTTTAATGTGGAGCGATTTTAGAATTTGGTATGTTTGTCTTGTAAGCTTAATAGCCATAAAAGAAAACAAAATTGCCACACAAAAGTATATATTTATATAAAGTAGACATCACGGGCTATTTACCTAAGGTTGTTTTGACACTTTCTACGTAGCCATTTCACCGCCAACCTCTGCTAAATATTGGAGTAAAATTGTGTTCTTTTTGGTTTTTGGCACACAAACTTATAACAGAGAAATTCTCGTGTATATTTTGTAAAGTTGGTGTGTGCTATTCCTGTACAAAGTTTTATTTTGTGTTCAGTTATATCTGCTGAGTAAAATGACACCCCCATTGTATGTCTTTTGCACTATTTCGTGAAGTTACAGTGCCATACAGGATACCTGTCCTTTTCAGTATTCACAGTAGAATTTTGAGAGATGAATTTAATGAGCCTTAGCTTCCATTTGGGGTATTATAACAGTTTGACTGTTCAAAAAACCCCCACAAAGGCCTACCATTTGTAAAAGTAGACACTCCAGGGTATCTTATAAGGTGCATATTGTGCCTTAACATGCCCCCATTTTTTCACCAATATATGCCAAAGTATATGGTAAAAAAAAATTTTGTGCATTTTTTACATACGGATTGCATTTTTGCTGGGCGTTTTGTATATTTCATATGTGCCACTAAGTTCAAACCCCCAAATTATGCTCAGCTAAGTCTTCTGAGTAAAATGACACCCCATATGAATGTCTTTGGCACTATTTCGTGAAGCTACAGTGCCATATAGGAGACCTGTCCTTTACAGTATTCACAGTAGAATTTTGAGAGACGGATTTAATGAGCCTTAGCTTCCATTTGGGGTATTATAACAGTTTGACTGTTCAAAAACCCCCACAAAGGCCTACCATTTGTAAAAGTAGACACTCCAGGGTATCTTATAAGGTGCATATTGTGCCTTAACATGCCCCCATTTTTTCACCAATATATGCCAAAGTATGTGGTAAAAAAAATTTTGTGCATTTTTTACATACGGATTGCATTTTTGCTGGGCGTTTTGTATATTTCATATGTGCCACTAAGTTCAAACCCCCAAATTATGCTCAGCTAAGTCTTCTGAGTAAAATGACACCCCATATGAATGTCTTTGGCACTATTTCGTGAAGCTACAGTGCCATATAGGAGACCTGTCCTTTACAGTATTCACAGTAGAATTTTGAGAGACGGATTTAATGAGCCTTAGCTTCCATTTGGGGTATTATAACAGTTTGACTGTTCAAAAAACCCCCACAAAGGCCTACCATTTGTAAAAGTAGACACTCCAGGGTATCTCATAAGGTGCATATTGTGCCTTAACATACCCCCATTTTTTCACCAATATATGCCAAAGTATGTGGTAAAAAAATTATTTTGTGCATTTTTTACATACGGATTGCATTTTTGCTGGGCGTTTTGTATATTTCATATGTGCCACTAAGTTCAAACCTCCCAAATTATGCTCAGCTAAGTCTTTTGAGTAAAAATACACCCCCAATGAATGTCTTTGTCACTATTTTGTGAAGCTACAGTGCCATATAGGAGACCAAGCCATATCCGTTTTTACCAAACTTTGAATTTTGACGCTGGGCCTATGTGCAATTTCCAAGCATCTTCGCAGGTTTTAAATTCAAACTACCCCACAAAGGCCTACCATTTCTTAAAGTAGACACCCCAGGGTGTTTCAAAAGGTATAGTTTGAACCTTAGCGTGGGATCATTTTTCCGCTAGCTTGTACCAGATGTAGTGGTAATAAGCATTTTTCTGCCTTTTTGACATACAAAGTGAGTTTGCACAGTATATTTTGCAAACCTTATGTGTGCTACGACTGTATAATACTTCATATGTTGCTCAGCTATGTCGGCTGAGTACAGCAATACCCCGTATGTACCTTTGCCAGGTATGTGTGGACATCGGAGGGGCACATTTGGGACACAGCCATTCCAGTTTTTTTCAAACTTTGAATTTTTATGCTGTGCCTATGTCCCATTTTAGAGTATTTTACCAGGCTATATAATCCAAATTCCCCATAAAGCCATACCATTTCTTAAAGAAGACATCCCAGGGTATTTCAAAAGGCATATTTTGAACCTCAGCGTGGGATCATTTTTCCGCTAGCTTGTACCAAGTGTAGTGGTAATAAGCATTTTTTCTGCCTTTTTGACATACAAAGTGAGTTTGCACAGTATATTTTGCAAACCTTATGTGTGCTACGACTGTATAATACTTCATATGTTGCTCAGCTATGTCGGCTGAGTACAGCAATACCCCCATATGTACCTTTGCCAGGTATGTGTGGACATCGGAGGGGCACATTTGGGACACAGCCATTCCAGTTTTTTCAAACTTTGAATTTTTATGCTGTGCCTATGTCCCATTTTAGAGTATTTTACCAGGCTATATAATCCAAATTCCCCATAAAGCCATACCATTTCTTAAAGAAGACATCCCAGGGTATTTCAAAAGGCATATTTTGAACCTTAGTGTGGGATCATTTTTCCGCTAGCTTGTACCAAGTGTAGTGGTAATAAGCATTTTTTCTGCCTTTTTGACATACAAAGTGAGTTTGCGCAGCATATTTTGCAAACCTTATGTGTACTATGACTGTATAATACTTCATATGTTGCTCAGCTATGTCGGCTGAGTACAGCAATACCCCCGTATGTACCTTTGCCAGGTATATGTGGATGTTGAAGGGGCGCATTTGAGACGCAGCCATTCAGTTTTTTTCTAACTTTGAAGTTTTACGCTGTGTCCATGTTCCAATTTGGAATAGTTTAGACGGTTGGTTATTGAAACTTCCCCACAAACACATACTATTTATTAAAGAATACACCCTGGGGTAATTCAAAAGGCATATTTTGAACCTTGGCGTGGGATAATTTTTTCTCTAGTTTGTTCCAGGTGTAGTGGTAATGAGCGTTTTTAAAATGTATTTTTTTACTTTTTATAACTTTTTTACTTTTAAAAACTAGTTTTTAAACTTTTGTTTTGCTTATAAATTTTTTTTAAACTTTCCTAAACTTTCTTAAAACTTTTTTACAGATTTAACATTTTTCTAAGCTATTTTTTTTACTGTTAACCCCTAACTAGCAGTACGCAGCACTAACAGTAAATTCCCCATTTTCCCATAACTCCCACCCACCCCAGCTAGCAAAATATATAGTTATAAAATATTTAAATTAATTAATTAAATAAATTGAACCCCTGAGGGTTAAAAAAAATAAATAAAAGTTAATCCTCAGGGGTTAAAAAAAATTAGATCACAGTATAATACTGTGATCTCTATTTGATCGCTGTAGGCAGTGATCGACTGGCAGGGAAGGGGTTAATTTTTATTTGGACTAGGTAAAGTGTGTTTTTTTGTTTTTATTACTTAAATGTTATTAAAACATTTTTTAAGCTTAATTTTTAACTTTTTAAAGTTTCTTTTAAAACTTTTTTTTAACGTTAACCCCTAGTTAGCCTAACGCCAAATCCCCCAATTCCCCACTAACTTCCACCTACCCCAGCTATCTAAATATATAATTTAAAAATAATTTAATTAATTAATTTAATTAATTTAACCCCTGAGGGTTAAAAAAAAAAGAATTAACCCTCAGGGGTTAAAAAAAAAATCAGATCATAGTAAAATGTAATCCCTGCCAATTGATCACTGTAGTCAGTGATCAATTGGCAGGGAAGGGGTTAATTTTTTATTAAAATGGGTAAGGGGGGGGACACTTTAAATTAACTTTATTTTTTTTAACAGCAGGGGGCAGGATCAGCACTGATCCGGCTCCCTGCACTTCACACAGAACCCGGAAGTGCAGGGAGCCGGTAGGTAAGTATTCAGAGCACATGTGCTCGCTCCGACTTGTGGTCAGAGCGAGCACATGTGCTGGGCAGCTTGACCGGGTGCTCCCGGTATGCCTCCAATGCGGAGGCATACCGGGAGCACCATTAACCCCGCGATCGCCGCGATAGCGGCGATCCGGGGTTAATTTTACCGCGTGACGGACGAGGTCCGTCACCCGTCGTTAAGGGTCTCCCCTGTGTGACGGACCTCGTCCGTCACCCGTCCTGAAGGGGTAATGTAAAAACGTTCCTTAGGAGTGTTCAAGAAAGGGAGGGTATCACACACAAAAAAATCTATGATTATTAAGGAATACAGAGAGGCTGTGAAGGCAAGGAGGGCTCAAATGAAAGAGGAAGTGGAGATCTAAGCTTCCCCTTACAGGAAAAGCTTTTGGCGCGCCTTTAAGGGTAGAAGCTCAGTACGTTTGTCGCCAGTGCATGCAACAGATGTCATTTTTGCGCAGAATTAAAGGGTTACTTTGAGCACCACTTTCTTTGCCTGAATTTTAGAATTTGGATTTCATTTGCTAAAATTCTAAAGTTATAGAAACATTCGGTTTTTTAAATAAAAATGTTGAGATTAGACTTGTAAAATGCACATATAAACACAGCATTTTAATAAGTGAACGTACTACGTTAATCAGTTTAGAGGATCTTAAATCAGCTCAGCTTGAATTTTACAACTTTTTTTTTTTTTAAATAACCCATAGAAAGAGACTATCCAGAGCCAAATATGCCGGTTTTTCATGAGCTAATCCACCTGCTGTTATTGGACTGCAGCTCCCATCACCCCCAGCCATGCAGAGTTTCATTAATCCCATTCTAAGTTGCAGATTTCACTGTGGGAGCAGCTAATACAGGGAGAGAATCTACATTAACATCTTACCTATTGCTTCATTTCCACTGCTATCACCTCTGTCTGTCTCTTAGATCCTCTGTCTGTGTATGTATCTCTGGGGATACAGTTGCTATGTACATGAACCAGTTGCTTTGTCCCTGTAATATGATGTCATGGTGTTTCAGTACAAATGATACTTTATTGACACAGTATCACTCACAGCAAATTGCACATCCTGCAGCCAAAACCTATCTCTATAGGAACCCATTAAACACTAGAAACTTACAATGTATATTATAATTGTATCCTAAGTACAGGACTGTTTTGTTGTTGGTTTGTTTGTATGTGTCTGTGTAATTACTGATTTAGTGCATAGTATGGTGATACTAGTATTAAACAAACGGTTATAAAAGAAATTCAGGCCAATATATAAAGAAGGAACACACAAACAAGGGGGAAAAATGGTGATAACCCCTTAATTGTAAATGTCAAAAATATGAAACACACAAAGAAAAAGAAAATAATATTAATAAACCTGTGTTCCTAATGTGAGCTTAAAAATGAAAAAGAGAGAAAATATAACCTTTATTTAACTAATTGAAAAAAAAAATATAGACAAGCACACCAGAGCACGGAATCCCTTAACTCTTCACTTATCGACCAATTTGTTCTACTACTGGGTCATAAGAACAGAACCCAGTAGGTAAGTGTGGAGTGTCTGTGTGACGGACCGCCTGGCACCCCGACCGGGTACCTCTGTCAATCGCTGCTTCCTAACACTTGCGATCACCATAACCACCATAGACTCCCACAAACCACCACAGCTTGGTTGAGGTCTCGCCATCCTCCACCCACCCTGGACCCAAGATCAGGATCCAGCTTCCAGTGGGTAGACCTCTCCTAGTCCAAAGAGGGTAGCAGACACAGCTCTTATAAGAGCTAGTGCTTATACTCAGGGGAGTATTGTGATATAGCAATCCCCAGAGTGAATGTAGTTCTCTAATTCCCCAAACATGAGCCAAGACTTCATGAAGGGGTAAACGAATCTCTTTAATGGTGCCACACTGGCCTTTCAATGCAAGTCCTCAAGCAAGGTGTACGCCTACATGGACCTTGTTGGGGACAGGGACACAAACTTACAAACCAATTGTAACACATTTACAATGTCAGGCACTCCCACACATAGCATACAATCCCTCCCCTCTGCCTGGGAGATAATTGAGCCAGATAATGTATTAACCCAATTATCTCCAGGCAGAAAAAAAAACATAATTTGCAAAGTCCCAAAAGTACCCCAAAACACATAATATATAATGGTCTGATGGGATAAACAGAAAATCTTCCACAAATTAAAAACATGGTGAAAACACTAGCTGCTGTTGATGTTTATTTTGTTTTTACATAATCTAAGTAATACAGAACACCTGTGAAAACAGTATACTGTTGTTGATTGCTAAAATGTTGAACAGGTATAACCCCCTCACCCCCAGTCCAGGGCTGCATACATTGCATTGTATATTGATAATCAGTTGAATCATTATACAAAATAGATATTGAATAGTTGCAGTCATAGTTAACCCCTTAAGGACCGAGGACGGTTCAGGACCGTCATCGGCATTTTTGCGTTGCCGACCGATGACGGTCCTGAACCGTCCTAACGGTCAGAGCTACTTACCTGATCGCCGTCGTTCCCCCGGCGGCGATCAGCGTGGCTCCGGTTGTGGGGAGACTGCCTGCAGCCCAGGCAGTCTCCCCACGGCAGATTAGGACCCCTGTGGCCATGTGATCGCTTAACAGAGCGATCACATGGTCACAATAGGTGTCCTAGTGTCTGCCTGCAGGGGGGCTGCCTGTGCTGACAGACATTCTCCCTGCATGTGTAAAATCAAAAAAAAAAAAATAAAGTTAATGTTAATAAAAAAATAAATAATTATATATGTGTATATATGATATATAGACATATATTATATCTATATAATATATGTCTATATATCATATATATATAATGTCATACTAAGTGTATTTTTATATTAATATGTACTTATATTAATATAAAAATACACTTATAATTAAATTACACACGTATATATAATAACTATATATATTGTATATATATATTATTATAAAATATAAATAATAAGTAATTTAAATTAAATAAATTTTTTTTTAAATAATAATAAAAAATTTTAAAAAAATTATATAGCTATATGAAATTTTATTCTAACTGTATTTTAAAATTAATATATATATATTTATATCAAAATACACTTAAAATGAATTTGTATATATATCTATGTATATAAAAATAAATAAAAATAATAAGAAATATACATACGCCCATATACAAAATTACATAAATAATTATATAAATATACACGTAGACTTCAAATATATAAATATGCATATATATTTAAATTCTACGTGCGTATTTATGTAATATTTTTACATAATTAAGTAATTTTATTGATTGCAATTTGAGGGACCTGCCTGCCAACCCAGGCTGAAAGTCCAGAGAATTTAATTTGTTAGCACTGTATTTTACCCTGTAACGTTCTACGATACCCTAAAACCTGTACATGGGGGGTACTGTTTTACTCAGGAGACTTCCCTGAACACAAATATTTGTGATTCAAAACAATAAAACATATCACAGCGATGATATTGTCAGTGAAAGTGACTTTTTTTGCATTTTTCACACACAAACAGCACTTTTACTGATGATATAATTGTTGTGATACGCTTTCCAGTTTTTAAACACTAATATTTGTGTTCAGCGATGTCTCCCGAGTAAAACAGTACCCCCCATGTACAGGTTTTATAGCATTTTTGAAAGTTACAAGGTCAAATATATGGGTCAAATATTTTTACATTGAAAATGACCAGGTTGGTTACGTTGCCTTTGAGAGCGTATGGTAGCCCAGGAATGAGAATTACCCCCATGATGGCATACCATTTGCAAAAGAAGACAACCCAAGGTATTGCAAATGGGGTATGTCCAGTCTTTTTAGTAACCACTTGGTCACAAACACTGGCCAAAATTAGCGTTCAATTTAGTTTTTTTACTTTTTCACACACAAACAAATATGAATGCTTACTTTGGCCAGTGTTTTCGACTAAGTGGCTACTAAAAAAGACTGGACATACCCCATATTGAATACCCTGGGTTGTCTACTTTAAAAAAAATATGTACATGTGGGGTGTTATTCAGAGATTTGACAGATAATAGTGTTACAATGTCACTATTGATAAATTTTAAAAATGTATGTTTTGAAACCGCAATATCCTACTTGTACCTATAGCCCTATAACATGCAAAAAAAAGCAAAAAAGCATGTAAACACTAGGTATTTTTAAACTCAGGACAAAATTTTGAATCTATTTAGCAGTTTTTTCCATTCGCTTTTGTAGATGAGTAAAAGATTTTTCAAGTAAAAGTCAAAAAACATGTATTTTTTTCAATTTTTCATCAGATTTTTGTATTTTTTTAAATTAAAATACATGAGATTATATAAATAATGGTATGTAAAGAAAGCCTCTTTTGTCCTGAAAAAAACAATATATAATTTGTATGGGAACAGTAAATGAGAAAGCGGAAAATTACAGCCAAACACAAACACCACAAAAGTGTAAAAATATGCCTGGTCGCAAATGTACAACATCGCAAAAACAGTCCAGTCCTTAAGGGGTTAATGTACGGTATTATAGTGACATCTAGTGGCCAGATTTTACAATAGATTCTGTTCACTTTTCAATACTGTTTCTGCATTCATCAAATAGGCACAATCATCTCACTCGAACAGTGGGATATCTATGGCCTTGCTTTTAATATTTTTTTATAAGCTTTTCAAATATTGTAATTTTTTTTGCTAAAAAAAAAATACAAAAAATTACTATATATGTCAAGACCCGGAAACTACTCTGTATGATTGGAGGATTCCACCTGAAATCCAGTGACTCTACACCACTGGAAGGAAGGTGGCCGTGGCTTGATGAGTGTCAAGGCCACAGTCCTGGACGAAACACAGAGCATCCACAAGTATTTTGCGAAGATGGTTCCCAAAGATAAACTGCTAAGGCAATACCTGAGACTTCAACAGATAGAGGGTGCAGAGAAAAAGGAGGTTCCTTGGCAAGACAAACCTCTCCATGGGGTGTGCCACGAGCAGATAGTGGATGTGGCTCACATGACAAAATCATACCAGTGGTTGAAAAGGCAGGACTGAAAGACTGCACTGAGGCACTAATCAGGCACCTGGCACCAGCTTAATAGAAACAGGGATCCAACAAACCAGGCAAGACCCAAGGTGCAGACTGTACAAAGAGGCCTCCCAGACAATCCAGCACACAGTGACCGATTGCACGATGTTGGCAGGAACAGAATACACTGAGACACATCCAAGTTGCTGGGATTGTGTACTGAAACATCTGCTCAGAATATGGACTGGACCTGCCTAAGTCCAGATGGGAGATACCACAAAGTGTAGTTGAGATGGACAGGGCTAAGGTCCTGTGGGACTTCAAGATCTAGACCGGTATAAAAGTACTGGCCAACCAACCTGACATCGTGGTGGCAGACAAGGAATAGAAGACTGCAGTGATGGATGTAACATCAGGGAAAAGTAACCTGAAAAGATGAACTGAATAAAGAGCTAGAAAGGATGTGGAAAGTGAAGGCAGTAGTAGTCCCAGTTGTGATAGGAGCCCTCGGGGCTGTGATTCCAAAGTTGGGGGAGTGGCTTCAACAGGTTCCAGGTTGCACATCTGTCCAGAAGATCGCAGTTCTAGGAACTGCGAAGAACCCTCAGACTCCCAGGCCTCTGGTAGCGGACCCGAGAATGAGGGGGCAAAAATATATACAACCCACAAGGGTGCGGGTTAGAAAATATATAAAATGTAATATTTTGAAAACATTTGATATATATTTGTTTAAAAAATCAAAAATTTTAAAAACCTATTCAAAAATATTAAACTGAGGCATGTGATGCCACATCACAGCTGACTGAGGAAGCTCACAGACGAGTGAAACGCATTTTGGCTGATTTGGACTTCTATATATAATTTTTTATACTTCAAATTTTACTTTTTTATTTGGAATCAATA